GGTCGTCGGGCGCAGATAGCCCAGGACTGGCTCCAGACCCCTGAAGGTGAGGCCAAGTAGGACGAGGAGGGGGGCCTGTGCTTCCAGTTGGGACGGTTTGAAATGCATAAATCCCTGTATGGTCTCCTCCAGAAAAGAGACTCATCCTTCTCTGCCCAGGCCTGGGGGCTTTCGGAGCTGATGAAGAATCTAGAGGCTGCTGAAGAGAGCCCAGTCCCATCCATTACAGCCGCTGAACTTCCTCCCGCTCAATCCGGTAATTGATCTGATTTCTAAAAACACCCATACAAACATCTTTCCAGGCCTGCGTGCCGCTTTTTGATCATCTTTGTTGATTGCTTGATCTGATCCGTCTAATTCTTCAATGTTGTTTGAGGTTTCCGGTCCTATTTAGGCTGGCTTCTTCCCCTTGATTCTTCATTCTGGGGAGTTGACCTCTGACTTTGAGCTTGTGTACTTCATAAGTTCCGGGATGGCCTCCAGGCTTTCCTGATTGCTTGTTTTCAATCACTTCTGTCCTTAACATATTTTTACCTTGATTTTCCGGTCAAGGTCATCTTTCCTTTGTTAAGGATGACATTACCAATTTTAAACCCTTAGGCTCTTAATAGTTGAGCCAGACTTGGTGGGCTTCACTTTAGGTTACTTTGACCTCGGTGATTAGCCTCTTAATTGGTGAGGCTTGTGAGCCTCTCCAGTGTAAAGTTAATTCCTTCAATTTCATCTTTAGCCTTGTAAAATCAATGTTAACCTTGGGAAAGGTTGTCTTTTCCTGTTTAAGGAAATTTGACTTCGTTTGTAAGCCTGTTTAACCTTGAGAAAGGTTGTTTTATTCCCGCTCTTTGTCTTTAGAAAGGCTAGGTTGAGCTTTTTGGAATTTAGATGAGTCTGGAATTTGTACTTTGTCTTTTTGCGAGTACCAATTGGGAGTAGCCTTTTACTCTTTTTTTGGCCGGTTAAGAAACCTTCACAAATCATGCATAAAGGACATTTGTAACCGAAAACAAAACTTTGATTAAAGACTCATGCCGAAAGGAAATTACATACTTACTGGTAGAATTTCCGACCTCCTGAGCCCTGTGGACAGGGAGCCATGATGTCTATTCCCCACCTCGAGAAGGGGATTGTTGTGCTGATGGGGATGTGCATGGTAGCAGGCCTGCCTGGGTTCGTTTGGAACTTCTGGCAGACCTCACGTTTTCGTGCGAAGTCTGCACAGACCTTTATCATGGTTGGCCAAAAGTATCCTTGCAAGATAGCCTTTCTACTTAGAGTAAACGCACCTTGATGTGATGAGCATATCCCTTCGTGTAACTCTTTGATCATTTGCTGAGCCTGGTCTGGCCTCAGGCACTTTAGAAGCACTCCATTGTAACTTCTTTTGTAAAGCTTGATGTCCAAAGACAGGTATCTTCTCTTTTGTTTCACGGGTGCAGCTTTGGGATCTACTCTAAGTCTGTGAATTGCTACGTCTGAGCTTAGCCAGGCATATCCTCTCGTCCCCCATCAAAGATCACATGTCTTTTGCTGAGGGAAAGTGCACATTATGCCAAGCTGAGAGGCGATGAGAAGAGGATGACCTGCACCGGTCTTCGAATAAGCAACGGTCGCCATCCAGGAGGAGGATGACTGAGACCGGTCTTCTAAGTGCCAAGTGTGTCATGGCCCGTGCTCGTTGGGTATGAGCTTGAAATCGCCTGACATGAGCTCAGCCTTGGCAGGAATGACCTCAGGTTCGGCGGCATTGAGCTCGGGCTCGACAACATTGAGATCAGGCTCGTCGGGAGTGACTTTGGTCTCAGCAAGAATGACCTTCGGGCTCAGCAGGAATGACCTTCGGGCTTGGCAGCATTGAGCTCGGGCTCGTCAGAAATGAGCTCGAGCTAATCGGGAATGAGCTCGGGCTCGACAGGAATGACCTTCAGCATTGACCTCGGGCTCATCATGATTGAGCTTGGGCTCGGCGGGGATGAGATTGAGCTCGGCAGTATTGAGCTTAGGCTTGTCGGGAATGAGCTTGAGCTCGGCAAGAATGAGCTCGGCTCGGCCTAGTATGAGCTTGACTTCATCCATGCTCTTGGATTCATCGATTCTCTCTCGCTCCTCCTTGCTTTCCTGAAGATTGTAAATCCCCAGTCCCCCATTCCTTAAAACGAGTGAAGACGAGTAAAGTCATCTTTGTACTTATCTTTTGATGGGCTGAAATCCAAGTACATTGTTTGGAAATCAAATGTGCTGAAAAACATGAGTGGGCCCAAGATGGGTTGGCTGCACTGGTCTGTCTAGCTAACGTGAAGTAGCTTGACCAGATGGACTTCAAATCCTCCCCCCATGGTGGAAATCAGGTTCCAGAAATCGGAAGGTAAGAGAGTCCGTAGCAGGTAGGTTCCTCATCCTCGCCAGGCCGCAAATTGGACATAGCAGAGGTTCGTCGGCCTTCCTCATCGTTCCTAGGGTAGAGGCATAGCCGTTCTAGGGATAATCGCCTTCACCTCTACTGCCGCGCGCTTGACTCAGGGGCGTCGAGGTGTAGGGCCGCCATTCACAGCGAACGTCGCCTCCGAGAGGGAAGCCGCCCAGTTGCGACAGCCGGCAGATTGCCAGGTCATCAGAAAATCAGGGAAGCCGCCCAGTTCCATCCGCCATTAATGGAAGCTTTTTATGTAGTGGATGGCAGATTATAAATAGTGAATGGCGCAGGGTGCTCATTCTGCTCCTCCCCCGCAATATCGTTGCTGCTGTGTGACCGAATCCCATAAGTCCTTGAGCCAGAACAAGAAGATTCTGGATGCGGCAGAAGCATCATCGACTGTGGGCTGATCTACGGCGGCGGAAACATACAATGGCGGCATGGATCTATCGCCAAAAGTGAGGTTTTGAGGGTCGTATGTTCCTCCCAGAAACTTCACCGGCCAGACCCCTAGAACTCCGGATCTGAAAAACTACAGACTCTGAAACAAGGGTTCGATGATCCCAGCTCAGGTCCTTCCTCCGAACAGATTGATCTTGCCTTCTTCAGATCTCGAATTCCAGATTTAGATATGAAATTGCAGTTAAAATTCAAGAGTAGTTGACGATTTTTCTTTTGTAGATTCACAAGATGATGATGGATTTCTGGATTTTGGGAGGATTTCTAACTTGATTGTGTTCAAAGCTCTCAATGAAAGCACCAATGATGGAATATAATTCTAGCGAGAAGAGCGTGATCAATCAAATATTCATGATTGTGGGAAAGAAAGTAATGACTGTATTATTAATCGAGAAAACCCCCTTTACAGGAGATGTACAAGAGTATTTATAGGCTACAAGAACTAGTATTCTAGTATAAAACTGATGCAATAAATTCTATTAATTGCATATTAATTCGAACAAGACTCTTGTAACGTTCCGGCTGTTGCTAGATAACTATGCTGGAATAATAGCCTGCCACATAAACCCTAGGAATATCCCGGCCTCACTAAAACTCCACCCAGGCTCGATGTCTGCTGTTCATCCAGACGTGGTTGTGGATTCCTTGTGTGGGCTGGATCCCTAGTTAAGTCTAGCAGTTAATTAATACTAATCACGTGAAGGGCTGATTCCGTTGATGGGCTGATCCCGTTGATGAACTTTGCTTTAATTCAATCTTGGACCATGGTACCATCAACATGTTTTCTAATTAAAAATTACCCAGTGCATCTAACTTTTCATTATATTGCACTATATTTTTTAGTAATTAGTTTTATAGTGAAGTTGAATTATACGATAGTACTTCATACTTCTTATCGATTTTGTAAAATATTCAAATTTTGAACTAATTAATACTAGTTTAATTGTATCATCACTTTCAGTCTACTATAGTAGCTACACATATCAAATATAATAGTTATGTATTACGATGATCACAATTTTTTATAATTTTAATTTGGTGATAAATTAGTTTTTTAAAAATGCCGTTTTACTTTTATGTGTTTCCATCCATGTGTGCATATAGCCATGCAAACGAAAAAATAAGTACTCCGTGATAAGTATTGGGGAAATTCTAAATACAGCCATCCACCCATTTGCCAAATAAAGCCACACACATTTATGATTCTTAATATACCCATATTGAAAAAATTAACACATCCTCATCATCTCATTCAACCATGTTTTGGGAAGGTGGTTCTTAGAAACGAGAAAAAAGTTGAACACAAATTTGTATAAGGAGAGAAGCTCCCTTTCTCAATTCAGCAAAGCATATCAACATCAATCTTAAGAAGGAAAGCAAAAGTTTCACACGACACACAACTCATGGATAGTTTCATTAGAGGTCGTTCTTAAATAGCTAATTCACGTCAGCACAAGAAGGGCATCTAGGTTGAAAGTGAAAGTTAATCAGCTATAATATGAAACAAACTTGATGATTTCAATATGAAAGTACTGTTTTATGGTGTTTTCTCTCTGTACTAGTTGTTTGGACATTTATGAGATGCATGACTGGAATAATATGAAGCATAAGGAGTTTATTGTCAAAGTGAATGGTGTCACTTGCCCAGATTCAAAAGCTATTGCATAGAGCTCTTACTTTTAAAAAGGATGAAGCAAAAAGGGTTATGCTGAAGTTGCTCAACCCTGAAATTGGGTGAGTAAAACTAAAACTGAAGATGTCTTTAAGATCGGATGTTTGCGTATGACTGTATGAGAACTTGATGTTGTTGTTGTTATTCTCGATTGAAGGGCTTCTAACAATATATTCAAGTACACATTACAACATACTAACATCTATTTTTAAGGGTCAATTAGGTATTTAAAATTATTTGATTTATTAATATTAAATTGGGAGTTTATTTAGTAATAATATAGAGATTGTGAATAGAATTTTCCTAATTATTGCAAAATTGGGCCTAAGAGCGGCCTGTGCCAACTCTTCTTGGACCGCACCCTTGTACCTTGATCGACCATCTTTCTGTTCCGGATATTTCGAAACTGGTTCAACTTATCCATCGGCCCGCCCAATATTATCTTCATTGGCGAGAAGCCGCGGATCTCGTCAGAGTCTCTGGAATCATCCTGGCTTTTCGTACTGTTTTTTTTGCTTAGAACACTCTAGAACCCTGAACCTTGCTCTATTTATTCCGAGATTTCCTTTTTACGACCCCAACAGAGTTGCCGCAAACTGATAATCCAACCAATCATTTTCTATCGCTTCACCTAATTGTTCTTTGTGCATTTGCCAGAAATGGATGACTACTTCGACATGCCACCTGCTGAGGAGATGGAAGATATGGATCTGCCTGACGACAATCCGATAATTAAGGTCGGCGAGGAGAAGGAGATCGGAAATCAGGGCTTGAAGAAGAAGCTTATTAAAGAAGGGGAAGGCTTTGAGACTCCTGATTCCGGGGACGAGGTTGAAGGTACTGCTTCTAAGTTCTAATTATAATGAAGTACGAAGTATTTTGTTGTACAATTAGATAATGCTGATTCATCACTGAGTGATTTTGTCTGGTTAATTTTTCAGTGCATTACACTGGCACACTGCTTGATGGGACTAAGTTCGATTCCAGCCGAGATAGAGGCGATACGTTTGAGTTCACTCTTGGTCAAGGTTAGTTCTCGTTCTGTATGCCTGTATTACATCTCTGCAAAATCATTAACTGTAGAATACTGATTTCGAGTTTATTCTGAGATCATGCAAGCTTAACGAGATTGTGTAATATGTGGATTAATTATTCAGAGCAATATACATTCCTTTTTTAGTTCACCATTTCTTAGAGGTTTCTATGGGGTAGGATGGTGTCAGATTGGATACTTAACAATTTATCATACATATCTTTTGATTAACAGGACAAGTAATTAAAGGATGGGATCATGGTATCAAAACAATGAAGAAGGGTGAAAATGCCATTTTCACCATACCTCCTGAGCTTGCCTATGGAGAGTCTGGTTCTCCCCCTACCATTCCTCCCAATGCAACATTGCAGTTTGATGTTGAATTGCTGTCATGGTCAAGTGTTAAGGATATTTGCAAAGATGGTGGAATTTTCAAGAAGGTTTTGGCTAAAGGAGAGAAATGGGAAAACCCTAAAGACCCAGATGAGGTTTTAGGTATATTTCATTTCTAGTTTATTGTGAAATTATGTTACCATTTGTCTTGACATAATGCATTTAATAACTATTTTACTTTATACGTTCTGCAATTCAGTGAATTTTGAAGTTCGTCTTGAAGATGGAACTTTGATCTCAAAATCAAATGGACTGGAGTTCACTGTTGGGGAAGGTACTTTCTCGGCTTGCAATGTGGAAACAAGTCATTACATCATTACATAATGTAACAATTATATTCCTTATCCTCATAATATTTTGATTTTTCAATCAGGACATTTTTGCCCTGCTATTTCTAGAGCTCTTAAGACCATGAAGAAGGGAGAGAAGGTGCGGCTCACAGTGAAGCCTCAATGTAAGTAGTATTTTGAGCACTCAACTCACATGTCAAGTAGCTCTATAATTAACGTACTAATCTCACATAAATTCAGATGGTTTTGGTGAGAAAGGAAAGCCAGCATCAGCTGATGAAGGTGCTGTTCCAGCTAATGCAACATTGCTAATTGATTTGGAGCTTGTTTCTTGGAAGACAGTTACAAATGTTACTGATGATAAGAAAGTTGTGAAAAAGATGTTGAAAGAAGGGGAAGGATACGAGCGCCCCAACGATGGAACTGTTGTAAAATGTGAGTATGCTTGCAATGTCTATTGATAGTTCTTTCAGACAGTTTGTGGTATCTAACTACGTTATTCCTTCTTCTAGTGAAATTGATTGGAAAGCTGCAGGACGGTACAGTCTTCATCAAGAAGGGTCATGATGCTGATAGTGAAGATCAGCTTTTTGAGTTCAAGACTGATGAGGGTGTGCACACTTTACAATGCAACTTTGAGCTTTCCATTTAACTGAATTGAACTATTTAGCCTTTTAAAGCTTTATCAAATAGGGGATGTTAAGTTACCAGACCAATATTTTCCATGTAAGGTACCCACTAACTTCGATTTATGGAACAGAGCAAGTCATCGATGGATTGGACAAAGCTGTCATGACTATGAAGAAGGGTGAAGTGGCATCGCTGACCATTGCTCCCGAATACGCGTTTGGTTCATCGGAGACAAAGCAAGACTTGGCTGTGGTCCCTCCCAACTCCACTGTGTTTTACGAAGTAGAGCTTGTATCATTTGTTAAGGTACGTTTAGTTTTTTCGTTAATATTGGTATGTAAATTGTACTGGTCCATAATATTATTGATTTAATTTCTGCCGTTCCCCCAGGAAAAGGAATCATGGGATATGAAAAATGATGAAAAAATTGAAGCTGCTATCAGAAAGAAAGAAGAAGGAAACGCTCTTTTCAAAGCTGGAAAATATGCAAGAGCCTCAAAGAGATACGAGAAGGTAGGCCCATTTATGGAATTCCTTTTAAACTATCGCTATGAGGTTTTGGTTCTTGTTGGTTTTATGTCATGATAGTATGATGAAAAAGGAAATGAAATACTAAACACTAAAGCAGATGATAAAACTGACCCAAAATCTATCGATTTAATTTAACTACATTTTCCAAGCTCTAATACATGAATCATATTAGCACAAACAGATTTAGCTTGATTCATATGCTACATCTGACATCATTTTGGGCCACCCCTTGTGTTGCATTCTTTTGTTTTTTTGTTTCTCTTCAAATCCTTCAAAGTAGTTGGATATGCAGAGTGATAAATATAGCTATGCTAACGCAGGCAGGTAAGTTTGTCGAGTATGACAGTAGCTTTAGTGAGGAGGAGAAAAAGCAAACCAAGGCTTTGAAAATATCATGCAATCTGAACAATGCGGCCTGCAAGTTGAAATTGAAAGATTACAAAGAGGCAATTAAACTATGCACTAAGGTATCTTTCATATTCATTGTGGTTCTTTATTATTAGTACTTACTTGGTATTATTTCTTGTTTTAACTTGTATGTATTGCTGTGAAGGTTCTTGAACTAGAGACTACTAATGTCAAAGCACTCTACCGAAGGGCACAAGCACATATGAACATGGCTGATCTTGACCTGGCTGAGTTTGATATTAAGAAGGCTCTTGAGATTGATCCTGACAATAGGTATGACATGATACTACAGCTGTGCGTTTCTTCTAATGCTTTGTTTGCTTTACTACAGCTGTGCGTTTCTTCTCATGCTGAATTTTACCTACACATGTGTTTTCCTTTGCTACTCAAGTACAGCTGATTCTTCTTAATTAACTATTGAAAAGAAAAATTAGTGGCAAAAAATTAGTGGCGTAGTTCATTTTAAATTTGGAAAGAAAAACTTCCATTGAGAAAGTAACACTGAGGTGAGGATTGTCCTTTTTTTGTCTTGGATAAAAGGGATGTGAAATTGGAATACAAAGTGTTGAAGGAGAAAGTAAAAGAGTTCAACAAGAAGGATGCGAAGTTCTATGGGAACATGTTTGCTAAGCTGAACGTAACTGTACGTATCGCTCCTATCTATTCTTTTACACAGATGTAACGTATCAAACTTATATGCTTACGATTTGCATTTTGTGATATACAGAAAGCTACAGTGAAGGAGGCAGAACCCATGAGCATCGACAGCAAAGCATAATTACAGTGGTCAACAAAAGAGTTGTTCTTCTGTTCTTCAGTTTTTATATTTTGTCAAATGACTTTGTACCTGTTAATTTTAACGGAATGTTATTTAGTTTTGGCATTCTGCAAGTTGTTACTATTCACTGCAGCATGGGTAATGAATAACTTCTTCCTCTTTCTGAACAAACACTTATCGTAAAAGGTACAAATGTGATGGTGTTACGGAGTCTAACCAAGCCGGTTCTAATTTTTACGAGAGAAAATAATGACGTTTTATGCTAAAATGGAAGTGTGTTCAAATTGTTAAATCACAAAAGGAGAACGTATTTTATGGAAGACTCTTATGGTTATTATTTACATATTTACATATAATCTTATGGAGACTTCACTAAAATTATTTACATATTTACATATAATCTTATGGTTATTATTTACATATTTACATATAATCTTAAAATTTTTTCTTTATTTTATTAATAAAATATATTTTAAAAAGTATTTTTTTCTTAAGTCAGCAGAATTAGTCAATGCAATCATTTCAGATAGAATTTTATAAATTTCAGTAGAACCAAAGCGTGCAAATTTTAAGTTAACTACCATGTGAAAATTCTTTCAAAAAAACAAAGTGTGAAAATATGTAGATGAAAAGTGATCTTTAGTAACTGAGTATAAAATTGCAAATTTCATTAATACATAATAATTACTTGAAACTTTTAATAAACAAAATTGTCAATGATGATTTGGTATTATCTAATATGTTGTGCTCATTGTTCAATATTACTACGTACTATCCTCCGTCTTTAAAAGTTAAAACAGTTTGACTTTTACGTTTGTTAACACACTACTTTGATATGTATTAGTAAAAATTATAAATAGTTAATATTTTGGAAATTCACATTAATAGAAGATTTAATAACATTTCAGTAAAAATCATGGTCGTAAGGTATGTGAATAATGCAAAAATTTTAATGTTGCAAATTTATGAAAGTGAGGAAGTATTAGTTAAGGAAAAAATACTCCATATATTACCAAAACCCATCGGATTAAATTAAACAAAATATGACTGTTCAATAGAGTATGATCAAATTGAACATGGAAGACACGCGGAATAGAAGTAGGGACAAATCAATAACACTATAAATGGAATTATGAATGGCTAGGTTGTGGTTAAAAAACAGGAATGAGTATTAATTATTCATCCATACATATATGGATGTGAATGGTAAGATGCATTATTTTAATAATATTAGTCATATTATTCTAAGAAAACACATGAACTTTAATAATATTAGAGAGAAAAAACATACGTTGGTCTATCAGTGATACTTTTCTAAGTAAACATATGAATCTTAGTAATATTAGTGATGCTTTTCTCATAATATAACTTTATTGATATTGGGGGTGCATGGTTGGTCTATCAGTCACTTTTTGTCCTTTTGGAGTCACTTTGATTTGTCAAACAACTATTATCCGTAAACAATTTTTTGATTCGTCTGTTTACTACGAAAAGTCACCCTACGTGACTTTTTACAACGATATATTGACATTATTATTAAAATTCTAATATACCCTCCCATTTTAGTCATCATTAGGAGTGGACTCGGGCCGGTTCGGGCCCGGTTCCTGGGCCCGACCGGGCCTCGGTTCAAGAAGGGGAGGCCCGGAACCGGCCCGGGTAAACCTCGGGTCCGGGCCTCGGGGTTTTTTTTTTGGGGGCTTTTCCTAGTTAACCCCCAGCCCTCCCCCTCACCCCCAAACCAACCCTAACCACCTCAAATGGCCCAAAATAACCAGCCCAACCCAAAAACTCAAAAAAAATTCAAAAAAAAAAATTAAAATTGGCCCGGCCCGGGCCCGAACCGGCCAGGTCGGTTCACCTTTTGAAGGGCCCGAGCCCGAACCGAGAATCCACCGGGCCGGGTGGCCCGAACCGCCCAACGAACCGGTTCCCGGGCCGGTTGGCCCGGCCCGAGTCCACCCCTAGTCATCATGCAAAAATCATTTGACAACCTTCCCGATTGAATTTTTGCTGAAATTTTGTATGGATCTAGACTTGATGAGGAACATACAGAAAAAATTTCAACCAACAATACCACCGGAAAACACCTAAAATTGAGGTGGCCGGACGAGGGTCCTGTCCGGCCTGGCCGGACAGGAATTATTGTGTGTGTGTGTGTATGCATGCACACATAATTACATAAATGCTTTAAAATTAATTGTCTTATTTTTAACTATTATAATACACAAAGTCATGTATTTTTAGTTATAATTTTTTAAATATAATGATTGTTAGTAACTTTTAGAATAATACTACGCATTACAAAACGGGAATTACATTCATGATGATACTTATTGTCAGTGTTACGTAGTATTATGTTTTTCGTTATCATTTTTCATTTTTTTTATTTTTTGAATATTTATTGAATAATGGAAATAGATATATGGAAATAACTGAGGTATAAAGTCAGGTATATCCATTTTAAATAAAAGTATGAAAAGCAAAAAATAAAATACAAAATGAACATAGCAGACTCATCTGAAATATGGAAATAGATATATGGAAATAACAAAGACTTATCTGAAATAGATTGAAGATTTACTCATTGATGACAAAAAACATGTTTGTTCCAGTAAGGGAAAATATGTTCCTCTATCATATTGTTCATTTCATCTACTAATTTAAGGGGTATTTTTTTGGTCATATAGAGCTATTTGTTTTTACGAAATATAAAAGTTGACAATTTTGGGAAAAACATCTTGTAGCTAAATAGACAAACTGAGACAAAGATTATGTTGGAAAGAATCCTTTTCCATTACGTTAACTATGCACACAAGTATTGGATTACTCAGATTCAGATTCCTGATAGTAACACAAAGGTGGCATAAGAGATTACTCTTATTGGTTGATTAAGGTATGTAGGACTGACTTATTTTCGACCCCGCTCAATCTACCAAAGTGCAAAGCATAAACAACATTTACCATAATGAACTTTTTGCAAAGTCTAGCCTTTACTGTGTCACAATCATCATCTTGCTTTGCACCGACCCTTTGATGATCAACCAGGACAGTCAACGAAGTAAACTTTGATCTTGCTGCCTCCTCACTATATAAAACCGAAAAGGATCAAGGCCCAAATTTTAATTTTATTTATACGCTGAATTTGCTTAATAGTTATTATTAAGCTACAAGAAATGCATAACTTCAAAAAGGCTAACATACATTGTTATTGATTCAGCAGAATCAAGAGTATTCTCAACAAACTCTCATACTTTTGTATAAAGTGATTTCTCTAGAGTACAACTGAATTGGTAAGTTAGATCAAAAAACCTAAAAGGATGGTGGGAACATTTGCAGATAACAACCATCAATATGAAACTATCTATTTATTAATGCACGACTTCATTTGGACAATTTCTTTAACATGTTACAAGTGCATATGAGTGTGCAAAAAATCTCATACGAAATCCTAGTTAATTAAGATTATTCACAAACAGTAGCATGTTTTAAAAAATCTTCCTTCAATTAAAGCCTACTTCTGATTCAAATATAACCCAGTTCATAATCTACCAAAAATAGAAACCATAATCAGAATAGTGGCAACATTAACAGATAGCAACCATCAATATGAAACTATCCACTTATCAATGCACGACTTCATTTGGACAATTTCTTTAACATGTTACAAGTGCATATGGGTGTGCAAAAAATCTCATATGAAATCCTAGTTAATTAAGATTATTCACAAACAGTAGCATGTTTTAAAAAATCTTCCTTCAATTAAAGCCTGCTCCTGATTCAAATATAACCCAGTTCATAATCTACCAAAAATAGAAACCATAATCAGAATAGTGGCAACATTAGCAGATAGCAACCATCAATATGAACCTATCCACTTATCAATGCACGACTTCATTTGGACAATTTCTTTAACATGTTATAAGTGCATATGGGTCTGCAAAAAATCTCATATGAAATGCTAGTTAAGATTATTCACAAACAGTATTATGTTTTTAAAAGATCTTCCTTCAATTAAAGCCAGTCCTGATTCAAATATAACCCAGCTCACCATCTACCAAAAATAGAAACCATAATCAGAATAGTAGGTAAATTAAAAATTAAGAATATAGAATTTGCATCACAAATTAAAACTCAAAGCATTAGAGGATTTATTGAATGAAAACTTGAAATTAAATGAAAACTTGAATGATATCAATAAGTTGGAGAGAATATACATGCCATAAGGTGATGATACGGCTAATATGGGCATGAAACTCGAAAGCAACACTCCCTTTGTGACTCCCGATTCCAGTTATCTACTAACCTCATTGGAAGGTAAGCCTAGAAGCGGACATGTGCGGTAATGACGTCAATGAAAGGAAGACAAATACAAAGGGGTATTAGTTGTAACCTAGTAAACCGAAAGTGTAATTTACAAGCACATTTAGCAATATGATTAAACCAACACATTTTTTAATCATAAGTGAGCCTTACTCTCATTCACGCTTATAAGTTTTCAAGATGTAGATCCATCTGTGAAAACAAGAAAGATTCTACTGGAAACCAGGTTGTATGAGAGAATATTATAGAATCAACATGAATAAAGAGTTAAAAAGAATATGCAAATTTGAAGACGGTAAATGACTCACGGCAAAAAGAGGAGCAAAATAGAGAAAGTTATATTGCAATTCATTGCAAAAAAAAAAATTATACCCTGTAGTTCAAATTAAAAATAGAATCAATTTCAAATTAGGAATTTAGTCATACCGTAAATGGATTTAAATGCATTTTTCGTTTGGACTAGAGCGATCGAATAATGATAATACAGACAGCTAATGTGCGTAGGGAGGCCTGGTAAGGGATATTGCCCGACTTGTACAATGGAGACTTGGAGAGCGATGGACATTATCATTTGTTTACAAATTACAAGACAGGTTGTCTACAATTAAGTGTCTACCTTCACTTCTGCTTCATTAGTTTACAAAATTGTGGATAAAAGTAAGTGTGGGAGGTTTGAATATCAACACACATCACACCACAATACCACACCACACCACACCACACCACACACTCACGTACAGCCATATGGATTAATGATGAAATTCATCTACCTACATTAATTTATGTGGAAAATTTACATATAATGAAAGTGAAAAAAAAAAGATTCAACCGATGAACTGGAAAACCTTGTACGTTGTACAAGAGGAACACATAAAATATTGTAGAATTGAATCAACATGAATAAAAAGTTAAAAAGAATCAAATTTGAGGACGGCAAATGACTTGTACCGTGACTTGTTGCAATAAGAGGAGCAAAATAGGGAAAGTTAGATCGCAATTCATCCCAAAAGGTATTGAGTTCAAATAAAAAATACAATCAATTTCAAATTAGGAAT